TCTTCTAATTTTGGCAATTCCCGGGTGGATAATGACATTGCCGATTGATTTCTAACCAAAAATAAAGCACAACCACGCAAACACTCCACCTTCTCCCACTTTTTGGCAGCAATGTTTAACTTGCAGACATAAAAGTCCACTGCTCCTTTGGTATCAGACCCCAACCACAACCATTGCCGCTCCACAAACAAAATCTCACCCATTGACTCCACACCAACCATTTTTTATGGTGCGTCATTGGGCCATCAAGAACATTCCGATCCATTGAAGGTTGAAAATTCATGATCTTCGGGGGATAATTATTATATGTGTCCCCGAAGTCCCAAACTTGAATTGAGTGGTTGGTGGACAGTGCAAATAATTGGCCATTGTTGTGGAATACAATATCAGAATAGTGATCATGTGAACCATCTAAGTCAGTCCATGCAGCAGCGTTGCCTCCTTTGCCGTGCTGATAGAATGCTATCCCTGGCGGTCCCAAGGAGATATCATAAATTACCACAACGACAAAGTTGTTGTTGCAAGAGGGGTCCGAGGAAAGCACAACTTTAGCAGTTGAAGCCTTTCCCGGCCTCAATGGAAGCGTCAAGCGTTGTTTAGAAATTGGATTGAAAAGATGAACAATTTCTTGGGATAATATCATTGTTTTAAACTCCCGAATTGCCAGCCACCCATGTGATGAACCCAAACACTCGCCATAGCCATGAGAGTCTTGAGACGCTTTCCAGTCCATCTTGTAAACCTTATTCTCTGCAAGGCTAAAGAAGCACCTGCTCTTATGATCAATATGAGGGGGTTTGGAGCGCCAACTCCATTTGTTGGGGATGGGGGTGGGGAGGATGAGGAGCATGAGCCATGGATATTGAGGCAACTGGGTGTAATACGGGGTAGAGGTATACAATCTTGCAGCGCGGTTCCAAGAAGAACAGACGGCTTCAAAGCGAATGATGTCGACGATATTCAAAGCAAGCTTTTTTACGATCAACCCTAACAGATCAGGAGGGAGCTCATCAGCCCATTTTGTTGTTATTGGTGTTGTGCTTGAATAAGTTAGCCTCCTTCTTTCAGTGGAACAAGCCATAGCCATTGATGATGAGGATATTATTGGGATATGATTAGCTAGATTCCCAATTATTTACATGTATTTATAGGCTGGGCTGAGATTGGGGACATGTTTTGTTTATGCTTGTTGTGCTTTCAGAAATTTCCAAGACCCTAATATATATATATATATATATATATATATATGGGATGAAAAAGAGCAATTTTGTACCATTGTTGTGTCATCGGCACCAAAATATAAAAGGAGAAAGGAAATAATAGAAATAAACAAATTGAGAGAACAAAATTCATAGAATTTTCCTAATTAAGGTTGTGGAACATAACAAAAGTTGCCAAGAATTTTCCTAATTGAGAGAACAAAAGTTGCTTGCCAACTTTTTTATTTCTTCCCCAGTTTCCTGTATTTTAGATTTCTTTCCTTTTGCCGACTTCCCTCCCACTCCAAAAATTTGTAGCCCGTCTAAAATCGGACGTATTAATAGGGCTTTGCACCAGATTGGGCATGTGTCCTTGTTGCCTGCTAATCATTCGAGTTATGCTTGTTGGGTTTCCAAAAACTTTTAAGACCCAAATCTTTTTGTAAAGGTCTTCTTATTCCAGCAGCCTGACGAATGAGCTTGGGCTGCTGAAAAGAGAAACAGGTGAAATTACCCTCTGTGCCTGAGTTCAAGAATCAGGCCCCAAGAATGCTTCGAAAGGATAACGAAACCTTAGGAAACACTTTGGTTACATTTACCAACAAAAATAACAACAGCTTACATGTAGATTCTTAGCTTGGCATGAGAGCAAAACCATCATGAGTTTAGCATAAATAGAGAGAGGGCTGTAAATTCCTATGAGAACCACGGGTTTTAAGACAATGGGGAATGGATTCTAAGAGGGTTTGTTGAAGAGGGAGAGAGATGGGGGTATGATGGGTGTGTTGAGTAGTTTCCAGCAGCTTGACGAAAAATCTGTCAAGCTCTAGAGTGTTTTAACAGAAGAGAAAATGGGAGGAGATGGAGGAATAAGGCACGAAATTGCAGAGTTTTGGAGGTAAGAGAGGAAGCTTGCACTCTAGATGTGGTTTGAGTGAATTTGTAGTTGCTTGACAAAGCTTGGTCGCACTCTGGATGATGGTTTTTGCTGAGTAGAGGAAGCTCCCTTTTATAGGCACTTAGAATCCTAATTCTGTCAATCCTCCATTCCCACTTTTGCTTTGCTTCTTTCCATTCACTCCATTTTGGTGAAATTTCTTTAGCTAGAGTGGATGGGTAACAGGCTCTTTGGGGTTCCAAGGTTTTTGTGAGGTTGGACCTTCCCATGGGGATGAGACGCCACATGCTTTTCTTCTTGGTTCCCCATTAGAGCTCGCAGAGGAAAGGAGAATGGATAGAGCTTTTGCCTAATGGGTATTCCTCCTACACGTATGAATTCCCTTTGGTTTTTCTGATGGCTTGCGTTGGGTTTGTCTTTGGCCATGTGCTAGAGTCTCTTAGCAGTCTGAGCATACAAACATCTCCTGGTTTTCTATCGTGGTTTTATTTCAAACCATGTGCTAGAGATTTTTTGGATATTTTCTAAGCCACTTGGGCTATTTGGGCCTTCCTAAGGTATTGGGTCATCTCTTCTAGAGTATTGGGCTTTTTTCTCTCATTTATGCTTACCCATATATTTGGGCTCAAGAAATGGGCTTGAGTTTTGGGGCTCCCAAGCAGCCCAAAACTTCCATTTCTCGGCTCATCAATGGGCCTCATGAAAGTTTGTTACCATCCATACCACAACCCACTTAAGCAAGCCCCATGCATTTTGCGTGGCTTGGGCCCACTTAAAGTTGTAGCGTGACTAGGTATAAAAATAATGATTTTCTGTTTGGTATTGCATGTCGCTTGGCATGCTTGAATTTTGTCACTTTGAAGAGGGTTATGACTCTTGATAATTAGCTTGGGCTCATAAAGCCAGTGCTTATTTCAACTCTTAGCATGATAGATTGCATATTTATTTGGCATGACACGTGAATCATGACTCATGCAAGCGTGAATGACGAAATTTCGCTGCTCCAAATCAGGTCTTTTCTTAATAAGGTATTGCATTGGGCCGAGAATTTATTTGGGCTCAAGCCTGGATTTTTGGGCCTCAACACTTTTCATATAGCTTATGAGATTAAGAAAAAAAAAAGAGGTAGAAAAAGGAGAGTTCCGAAAAGTATTGCACTCCACATGTATCTATTTGTATCCTAAATGATGGCGTATTAATAAAATAGTGACATGTATTTTGCGTATTTCGTTGAATAAAAAAAATTATAAAAAGCAATGTTAAATTAACAAAAAGAAAGTCACCACCGCATCACAACATATCCCATCACCACCACCAGCCTTACTATTGTTCTGAAGCCTGCCGCAGCCTTCCACCGCATAAAAAAAAAACGTTTGAGTTTTGCAAAATACTATTTCTACGAAAAATGGCATATGTAAGCCTACCTAAGCACAAAGTGCTCAACCTATTTATAAGCCTACCTATTACATATTAAACACAGAGAAAAACAGTTGAGACTGTGACTAACGTAACCAAGCACTAAGCACAATCTTTTCTCTTATTGGGCCGAAAGGATTAGGCACAATCCAAACGAGTGATGAAAAACTAGCGTTCTCTGGCACTGGAGTTGTATAATATGGTTCAACAAGTTTAGTTTCTAGGTTGTACACTCCTACATGAATATCAAAATTATCATCACAACCCTTCTGCAACTTCCCCTCATAAATCGAGTTTTCTTTTAATCTTGGCAATTCTTGGGTGGATAATGACATTGCCGGTTGATTTCTGCCCAAAAATAAAGCACAATCACGCAAACATTCCACCTTCTCCCATGTTTCGGCAGCAATGTTTAACTTGTAGATATAAAATTCCACTGCTCTTCTGGAATCATTCTCAAACCTTTCCTGCCCCACAAGCAAAAGATCACCCATTGACTCCACCAACCATTGTTCATCCCTCGTCATGCTGCCACCACCAATAACATTCGGATCCATGGATGGTTGAAAATTCATGATCTTCGTGGGATTATTATCATTAGAGGTGTCCCCGAAGTCCCAAACTTGAATTGAGTGGTCTATCCACAGTGCAAATAAACGACCATTGTTGTGGAATAGGATATCAGAATTGCCATACCAAGGATAACCCCCCAAATCAGTCCATGCAGCAGCGTCGTCTCCTCTTCTGCCGTGCTGATATAATGCTACCCTTGTCCCTTGGAGGGTATGATAAATCACCACAATGACAAAGTTGTTGTTGAGAGAGGGATCCGAGGAAAGCAGAACTTTATGTACTGAAGACCTGCGCGGGAAGGGAGGAAGCGTCCTGCATTGTGTAGAAATTGGATTGAAAAGATGAACGATTTTGTGTGTGTGTGTGCCACCCCCTTATTCTCCCGAACCACCAGCCACCCATGTGATGAACCCAAAAAGGAAACAACTCGGTCATGAAAGCCAAAGCCTTGGGACGCATCCCAGTCCATCTTGTAAACGTTATTGTCTGCAAGGCTGAAGAAGCACCTATAAGAAGGTTTATTACATTAAACCTACTAAAGTGATCTTCTAATCAACTTAGGATTACAAAGACTTATTGTTTATTAGGAACTCAAAACCTATCTTGATTAGGCAAGCCTCAAACAGTGTTCAATAAGGATAATGAAGGCTTAAGGGTTCCTAGTTCTACAAGGATTGAAATGGATTAATCCTATAGCATGAAGGATATCTCTAAGTGTTTCTTGATGGGCAAGACACTTAGAGAGATGCATATAAATAGAAGGCTCCCTCCTAGATCCGAAAATAACACAACACAGCTAAACAGAAATTCACCCATCAGAGTTATAGCTATAAGGATCGGATTCTCAGGAGAAGAACTTCTATTCCTTGCACTGCCAATCTGTTCCAGCATCATCCAGCCCTTGCGCCAACACCATGTCAGACTCAGGTTAGTGTTAAACATGTTATGGCTTTAAGGAATTAACATGTGGTATTAGAGCTTAAGTTATATCATGTTATACCTAACAAAACTCGTGCAGGAAAATTGAGAATAAATAACTGACAGTTTTAAGTTATAAAGTATGAACATGATAACAGTATAAAGTATGAACTTTATCATGTTCTTAAAGTTTTCTACAGATCATTGCTTACAGTTCTTGTGCCGTGATTGAGTAAGCCAAAGCGACTCAACCATTGCATGATCACTATATTCAAGGTTTATGATCAGAATTTGCACCATGATGCAAAACATGTCGAAAGGCTTTCTGTCCAAAGATGTCAGCAGTTTGATATGTCTTGCATCATGGTGGATCGACATGGAACATGGATAGATATGGATTAGTGAAAGGTTTTCTTCTGTCTAAAGATGTAGAAGATCTTTTGCTCAGGAAATCCACATCTACTCGTTTTCCAGTGTCAATAAGCATGCTTGAATCATTGTCCAAAGATGTGATTAAGTATGTTTGATTAAAGTTCTGGGGAAATTTATATATAAAGTGCTTATCTTGTTTTAAACATGTACAGTCAATCATAACTCGATTCGAACTCTCACTGGCTCAAATTATAAGAAATGGAGAGAAGATGTGGAAATTGCTCTTGGACTTCTGGATTATGAGATGGTTCTTACTGATGAAGCTCTATCAGTACCTGCGATTGATGCATCTGCTGAGACTAAGACTAAATATGCAAAGTGGATTAAGGCCAACAAAATGGCAATTCTGATCATGAGGAGGTCTATTTCAGAAGAGGTCAGAGGCAGTATTATTGAAACTGAGAGTGCTAAGCTATTCATGGAAGCTATTGCAGAAAACTTCCAAGGATCCAAGAAAGCTGAAATTGGTTCACTCATGAGCCAGCTGACAGATATGAAATACAATGGAGAAGGCTGCATAAGAACTCATATTCTGAACATGGTTGAGATAGGAAACAAGCTGAAGGCTCTAAAAGTCCATGTGGATGAAACCATGATGGTGCACTTTGCTATTAATTCTCTACCTAGCATTTTTAGACAACTGAAAACTACTTATATTGCTCAGAAGGAGATATGGTCAGTTGCTGATTTGATAGGTATATGTGTGCAGGAAGAACAAAGTATCAGAAAGGACAAAGGAAAAGAACAAGTGTATTTGGTGCAGGATACTAAGTTTAAACCAAAGCAATGGACCAAAAACAAGAACACAGATAAGCAGCAAAGGAAAGATGAGTCTGCAAAGGGCACGGGTCCAGTAGGTTTGAAGTGCTTCTTCTGCAAGAAATTTGGACATTTAAAGAGAGATTGCAGAAGATACAAGCGCTGGTTGGACAAACAAAAGGGAAAAGGTAAGCTTGAAAATGTCTCTGTGATTTATGAATCTTATACAGTTGAAGTTTTATCTAATTCATGGTGGTTAGACAGTGGTGCAACAGTTCATGTGACTAACTCTTTGCAGGGATTCAAAACAAAGAGGGTGCCAAACAAGGATGACTTGAAGGTGTTCGTGGGAAATGGAGAAAGAGTTAGAGTAGATTTTGTTGGTTTAGCTAGTCTTGAGTTGGAGTCAGGTTTTATTTTGGAATTAGTTGATGTCGTTTATGTTCCTTCTATGACAAGGAATTTGTTATCAGTTAGCAAGCTTGTAAAATCAAACTTACAGTTTGATTTTGATGAGTCTGGTTTCTCCATTTTCAGAAATAAAAGTTTTATTGGTAATGGTTTATTGATCGATGGAATGTTTCGTTTGAACTGCAAATTACCAAATCAAAGTACAGAGATGATAAATGTGTTAAGTTCAAAACAGCCTTGTAATGCAGAATCTTTCACACTATGGCATAAGAGACTTGGACATGTCTCGAAAGAAAGAATGAATCTCCTATGCAAAGAATCAATTCTCCCACCACTTAATCACCATGAACAAGATAAAACATGCATTGAATGTGCAAAAGGAAAGCTAACAAATCTCAGAAAGAAAGGGGCAATAAGAAGTGAGAAACTACTTGAGATAATACACACAGATATCTGCGGACCTTTTCCAGTTAATACACATGATGGTTTCAGTTATTTTATTACTTTTACAGATGATTTTTCAAGATATGGATATGTGTATCTGATAACAGAAAAATCCAAAGCATTGGAAATGTTTAAAATCTACAAGGCAGAAGTGGAAAACCAGCTGGATTCTAAGATAAAAGTTGTAAGATCAGATAGGGGTGGAGAGTTCTATGGCAAGTTCACAGAAAAAGGAAGAAATCCAGGACCTTTTGCAAACTTCCTACAGCAAGAGGGCATTGTTGCACAATATACAAATCCTGGAACACCGCAGCAGAATGGTGTTTCAGAAAGAAAAAATAGAACCTTAATAGAGATGGTGAGAAGCATGATGTGTTGTGCAAAGCTTCCTACTTTTCTATGGGGAGAAGCTTTAAAAACCGCAAACTACCTTTCCAACAGAATTCCCACTAAAGCTACAAACAACATACCCTACGAAATCTGGTGTAAAAGAAAGCCTAGCTTGGCTCATCTAAGGACCTGGGGATGCAAGGCAGAGGCAAAGCTGTACAATCCTATGCAGAAGAAACTTGATTCCAAAACAGTGAGCTGTTTCTTCATAGGATATCCAGATAGGACAAAAGGTTATAGGTTTTATTGTCCTAAAAATAACACTAGATTTGTGGAAACACAGAGAGCAATTTTTATTGAAGAAGAGGAGGAAGGATTAGATGAAACAGATTTTGTTTTTGATGAAGTTTTGGAAACTAAGGAAACTGCAGCTGAAAACCAAACAAGAGAAGTCACTATCTTACCTTTTGATGCCTTGGAAGAAAACCAGCCAGAACTGGCT